TGTGTGTGTGTGTGTGTGTGTGTGTGCGTGCGGCAGCTTTACAAGTTGCCGCAAAAATGCAAAATTACCTAAGGCTTGTGGGAGCGCAGAGTTGTTGTTGATATTCTAAAAAAGAAATGTTCTTCAGTTTCTGTTGCATGCCACAAGAAAGTAAGTTTGCTGGATGTCGCTGCTGTTGTACAAGTTCCTGCTGCTTGTTACCACACACACACATACGCTTGTTGCCACACATGCAACAACATGCTAACTCAATTTTCATATCATATTAAATTCCTAGTTGTCAGAATTTTAGAGCAGAGCAGCAACAGCTGCCACATGTATTGCTTCCTTAATAACTGAGCTACATACACTCCAGCACAAGTACTCTAGTTGCTCATACATTTATGCAACACACTTCAGAAAGCAAGTTGCATATTAAATGCTTGTTGCTTTCGTGCAACCAAATGAAAAATTGCAAGTATGTGTAGCATCCGCCGATGGCGAAAGTTGGTTGCCAACAAAATTCTAAGTCGGCGTCAATTTCAACGCGAATTCGCATGCGAATGAAGATGAAGTGCGGTGGGCTGTTTGTTGCCACCCGCTCTAGAGTGCTTGCCACAGAAGGTTTTTACATGCGCATGCACATCTGAGACATCGTTGCGAACAAGAAGACTTTGGCAAACAGTTGAATGGATTTTTTTTTTTTTGTTCAATCTTTTTTTTTTTGAATATTCCATTTTATGACATAACTGTAAGCCGCATGCTACAGCAACGCTGTCTTTGCATCAAATCATTTAAAATCTAATCTAATCTAACTGCTGCACTGAGTACTTAGTAGTTAGTTTCAGGAACTTGCAACTTGACACAGCACCCTGCTGCTGCACAACTTTTTCGTCAACCACTTAGGCTGCCACAAATTAGAAATTGCTAAGCAAAGTACGTTGCAAAGAAAATCAAGCGAAACAACAACATGTGGCAAGCTGTTCGACAGCACAGCGCCCCACTGCCGGTTGCTGCGCTTATCTTATCTGCAGCAAATACAAGTAGCAAGTTAGCGGCGGGCTGGCGGCGGCCTCCCAACTGCCATGTTGCACAACACAAAATCTGCGGCTACTGTGCAACAGCAATTGCGCCGCCTCCTACAATTGCGCATGCCACATCATTTTTTTTTTTTTTTTTNATGCTGCGCCGCTCTGGCATGACAAACTAATAAAGATCGCTGCTGCTGATGCAACAAATGCAGTAAACAAAATTGAAACAAAGTAAATAAACGAAAAAGTGGCAAATCGTTTGTGCAACATTCTTATCTGCGTCGTGTTGCAACCTCATCAGCAAAAGCAACAGCAGCAGCAGCACACTTAGCCTTATTTGGCAATGCAAACAACTGAACATTTCGTTTTTGTTGTTGCTGCTTTACAACTTTTGTCTTTCACCAGCAAAAGTTTATCATAATTTTCTTCGTGCCTCTTTGCTTCATTACCCCCAATGCTGTGATTGTGGTGCGCGAAAGCTGCGTATGTGCCGCATGATGGGCCAGCAGGTAGGCAAGCATTTAAAAATATTTGTTTTTATGAGAAAATGAAACGAAAAGCAACAACTGTGCTTGCAACACTTATCGCCACGAACGCATCGCTCGCTGCTCCTCCCTCGACCGGGCCAAACAGATAAGCAGCCAAGCAGCCGGCCAACCACCCATGCCCTTTGCGTCTGTTTGTGCCTCGGTCGTGCAGCAAACAGTCTACGGTAATTTGCATAAAATGGGTTAAAACGGGTTAAATGCCGTTGCGCTGCGCTGAACTTTGACTCTGCCTCAATTGCCGTGCAGTGCAATAAAGCCACCAACAATCAACAGCAACGATTGATGCCGCTGAAGTATAGGCAATTTAACTGCAAAACCAACAACATGCCACAAATTAATTTCAATTACAACGCGCAGTACACAGACCCAGGCCAGCACACACGCGGACATAAATTTTACGTGTATCTACTCCTTCTTCAATTTCGACGAGTACAACTTTGAAGCTAAATTCTTGATCTCTTCTTTGCTCGTGGTTTTTATTTGCTAGTCTCTCTGCTCTGGGTCGATTATCGCGATCACGTATTTTTTTTATTTATTTTTTCATTTTGTTATTGCTCTTGTACTAATCGAACGCTTAGTAGTTGGTAGCTTATTTTGTATTTCTTTAAACAACATTTATTTTCATTTGCTAAAGTTCGCCCTCTTCACTTTTTTCTCTTTGCAGTGCTGGAACAATTGCGATCAGCAATTGGGTCCCTTCCCGCTGAACATTAATTCAGCATTGCGCCAAGGCTCGCTCGTGCTGACGAACATTGCCTGGGATCAGGCGATTACGAATGCATCGAAACAGTGTCTGGTCACTTGGGAGGTCTCCGGAGGCGGTCTAATGGGCAATCTATTGACTGATAGTTCTACTGTTGAATTATCCCTTTGGCCAGATACAGTATATCACGTACAAGTTACGTGCAAGCATAAGGTAAGTGCATCCAATAAAAAAAAGAAAAGAAAACCAACAAAAAACTAAAAGGGCAATGAAGAAGAGATCATCACAGAAAAGTAAAAGAAAAACAAAGATTGCAATAAAAGAAATAGCAAAACTAAAAAACACAAGTAGTACATAGATATGCAATTGCTGTGGTGTAAGTCTATGGCCATTTCAGCCACGCTTTGCCTCTGCGGAAGTATGTACCGGCATGCGAGTGTATACTAACATTCACCAGAGCACCAGCATTGCAGTCGTTGATCGCCACCGTGGTGCTTTATGCTGATAGCGTGGCTAAAGCTGATCAGCAACGCCACTAAACTGGTTCTCCGCATCGGCTAGCGCATTGCTGCTGTCGCCACTTAATTGCCAAACGCGCACACACATTACGCTAGTATGCATCCGCCGCTCCTTCAAAGGCTCCTTCTCAAGCCCCGACTGCAGCCGGCCGGGTGTGAAAGCCACACTAATTGTCTAATTACATCATTGCAACATAGCTGTTGACAATTGCTGCGCAGCGCCTATGCACAATGCACACAAAGTCCGCCATGGCTTTTAATGTTCAATATTTTCAACGATCTTTTTCCTAAGACACTTTTCGTTGCGATCGCTGCATACGGCGAACAAAAAACAAATTGCATGATCACATGCGATCGCAAATAAGCGCTGGCAATGCAGCAAACACACGTGTAACTTCGTTGCACACACACATCTACATACGTATACATGTGTTGCTGCAGTTTTCGCCAACTGCAGACGCAAACGGGTAATCACTCTCGATACCTTGCAAGCTGAAGTTGAAGTGGCTTTGTTACGCTGAAAGCTAGAGCGCTCTTGTGAGTTGCTTTTTAAATCGCACGCAGGCTGAGGAGTTTTATTGGGCTGTAAATGCCCCAGAAACCCAGTGGCAAGGAGAAAGGTTGATGGATCGAGGATTGATAAGTGTTAAGCCAATTTGCGAGGCAAGATTTCTGTCTTTTAACTGCCACAAAAATTTTGGCGAAAAACCTTTAAAAATTATATGGGAAAAGTGTTGCTTCAAGAAATTATGTAACGAGCTATTCGAGAATTGGATTAAGTAGTATGCGCCTTAATTAGATAAAAAAAAATTACACAAATTCCTTCAGTGTCTAATATTGTACACTCTTGGTTTTTTTTGTGAAAAGCATTCGGAAGGGTAGTACACAGTATTTCCCCGATCGTACGTCGAATGAGGCGATTCGGTCACTTCTAAAATTTTCCACCTGGTTGCCGTGCTCAATCATCGCCGCTTACATTGCGTGCCTGGCTACCAGTGTGATTAAATAGTGGCATCCCCAGGTCCGTGAAAAGACACGCAATTATAAATGATTTGCTACATTCTTTCGTGTTGCGCGTGCAACGCTGCAATGCTGACGCAAATTGTCGAACAGACAACAATAGCGATTCTCTTTGGTTGTTTCTTTCAATATTTGTACACTAATTGACAGCGTGCAACAAGGCGAGCAACGCAAAATATTGATCGATTGGCATGTTGGAACTTGCAACTGGCGCGCGGCAGTGGTGGTGGCACATGTGACCGGCTGCAAAATGAGCTGGAAAAAATGATGTGTGTGCAACACATAACACACGCGTGTACCGCCGGCAACATACCCACATGAAACATGCAACATGCAACAGGCAACAGGCAATAAGCGCTTGTTGTCCTTGCATTGCATTTGTAAATTAATTTGTTAACATTTTTACAAGCAGTCAAGCTGACAGGCAAACAAAAAACGCAGCGAAGGCAAAGACGAAGACGAAAACAAGCCAGTGAGTCCTTTGTGTGTTTGTGTGTGTGTAGCACGGCCGCACGTGCAATACCACAAAAATTGGCGCAATTATTTTGATTTTCTGTAGAGATTTCCACTCCTTCCTTCCCTGAAACAATCTTTTTCCAATTTTTGTAATTTTACTAATTTTTAACTTTTCTGTTTTCCTTTGTTTTCGCTCTCGTTCCCAGGAGACTGGCGGCATGCGACGTTCGTACAAACTGATCGTGGACACGCACAAGCTGAGCGACAGCACTGTTACCGGCATGCAAGCAATCA